TGGGTTAGGAAGAAACCTTTCCTATTTCTGTAGGGCCTTTCTCGCGTCTCGGGAACAAACCTCCACGAAACGGTGACGGGGAGCTGGGGGGGCGTTCGGCGATGACGAACACAGCGGTGAGCGGGTAGACGCCCCCACAGAGAATAAATTTGGTTTGGGCCTTTCTCGCGTCTCGGGAACAAACCTCCACGAAACGGTGACGGGGAGCTGGGGGGGCGTTCGGCGATGACGAACACAGCGGTGAGCGGGTAGACGCCCCCACAGAGAATAAATTTGGTTTTTTTTTTTCTTTTTTTCTTTCCCCCTTTAGGTTCCGGCCCTTTGTGCCGCACATCCCCTTTGATTTCTATGTCGTGAGTAACCCCCCTCCTCCAGAGCTGTTCGCAGGCAGCAGCTGCGGGACATCTCCTTGTTTAAAGACGCTTAAAAAAAAACCAAACCTCGTTTGCCGACTTTGATGGTTTAACTTCTTTTAGCTTAGCCGGAGTAAAGGAGCTCACTGAAAATGCTGTCGGTTCAGTAACTAACCCGAAATAGATCTTCTTACTGTCTCCGTTGTTTGGGGTACTCGTGTCACACGGGATGACTAGGATGAGTAGGGACTTCTCCTTGTTTAAAGACGCTTAAAAAAAAACCAAACCTCGTTTGCCGACTTTGATGGTTTAACTTCTTTTAGCTTAGCCGGAGTAAAGGAGCTCACTGAAAATGCTGTCGGTTCAGTAACTAACCCGAAATAGATCTTCTTACTGTCTCCGTTGTTTGGGGTACTCGTGTCACACGGGATGACTAGGATGAGTAACAATCACAACGAATAAATGCCCCGATTGAGGTTTTTCTGCTTTTTAAGGCACCTCACTCACCCAGGCCCTCAATCCTGTCAGCTCTCTGTAACACAAACCTCCTGGGTTACTCCGATAGCTGTCACTTACCCGTCGGAAGTTCTCCAGGCTCTTTTGCCCTGTCGGTCCTCACAAAGACCAACAGCCAACGCGCGTTTCCCACCTTTAATAATTTCCTCCTGCCGCCCTTTACGGACACGTGACTCTCAAAGCAAACAAGTTCACTTTTGCCTTCCAGGCCCTGTGGCTGCGAATCCCGTCATAGCAACTGAAAAGCTCCGCAAACAAAGAGCGTTATTCTCAAGGGACTGTAATATAGTTAATAAACCCCCTCTTGACAGAGCCATTCTTAAATTAGATCCGCCCCGTCTCACACCCCTTAGTTGCACGGGCACGCTGGCGGCTCCTCCGCCGTTCCTGTCGGAACGCGGTGAGAGTGTACGGGCGGGACAGGCAGCTGCTCTCCCTCCCTTAGGATAACGTGAAATTGATAAAAAGCAACAAGTGAAGAGCACGATGGGGAATCGCAAAGGGAACAAGCACTGGAGAATTTTAAAAAAAAAAAAAAAAAGTAAATTTTGCTGGTGAGTGGGTTGAACCGAAGTCGTCTTCTCAGGCGTTGCAGTCTGATATCTGATCCCGTTTCAGTGCGAAATGGCCTTCCCCCGCGTCAAACCTGCCGCCGATGAGACCGCGTTCAGCGAAGCCTTGCTGAAGAGAAACCAGGACCTTGCTCCCACCGCCGCTGAACAGGTTTTGTGCCACCAAATTGCCTTAAATTCTTCGGCTGGATGTTACTGCAGCGTTAGAGGATGCAAAACCAGACTATCCTTCGGAGAGTATAGCCAGGAGTAGTCATTACTAGCCTAAAAAGTAATTACTCCTCTCTGAAACAAGCACTGCAGTAGAAATACGGGTGGAGTTTCTCGGACAGTGATTTTTAAATAAGTTTCTTTTGTCTGTTTGTTACGTATCTTGCATCAGGGCTGTCTGCATTATGCTGTGCCAAGATCAGATTATTTCAAGTCATACTGGACAACTGGCTGGTAACACCAACCCCTCTCCCATTTCCTTTTCAGGCTTCCATTCTTTCTCTGGTGACCAAAATAAACAACGTGATCGACAATTTAATTGTCGCACCGGGAACGTTTGAAGTGGTGAGTCCAAAAGCGGTGAGCTTGGAGAAAAAGAAAAAAAAAAAAGAGAGCAGCTACGTGGGGAGATGCTTCGGCACGAGGGATGCCGGTGTTCTAGCTGCCAAACCTGGCCCCAGGTGGATTAAAGATTCATGCTGGCTCCCAGAAACGTAGCACGCGCGTTAAATGCACTCATTTCTGCTTTGCTTTTTCAAACAGCAAATCGAGGAGGTTCGCCAGGTCGGTTCCTACAAGAAGGGCACCATGACGACGGGGCACAACGTGGCCGATCTGGTGGTGATTCTGAAAATCTTACCCACCCGTGAGTTACCGGCTGCGCGGCGGCTGCCGACTGAACCGCGGCGCTCGGCCCCCCTCCCACCACCTCTTCTGCTTCTTCTTCTCCCTAGTGGAAGCTGTGGCAGCCTTGGGAAACAAAGTCGTGGAAAGCCTGAGGGCGCAGGACCCCAGCGAAGGTGGGACGCTCTCCTGTGTCGTACGGGCTCGAGGAGGACGTAGGCTGATGCGAGGCAGTTTCCCCTTGAGCTTTGGGGTTTTTCTGAAGGGGATGGCGCTCAGCCTGGTGCCGCAGCACCGCTGCCGAGATCTTGTGGTCTTTCCTGCATTCCCGGGTGCCGGTAAGGTCTTCTAGCCCCTCCGTGAGGAATTTTGTTCTTTCTCCCCAGTCCTGACCATGCTGACCAACGAGACCGGCTTTGAGATCAGCTCGGCCGACGCGACGGTGAAGATCCTTATCACCACGGTGCCGCCCAATCTCCGCAAGCTGGACCCCGAACTACACCGTAAGAGCTCAGCTTGCTCTGCCCCGCACGTGAACCTTCACCGGGGTGGGGGGAAACCAGCTGCCTCCCCGCACCTACTCCCCTTTCGGTTGAAAACCCAGGCGTTTCTGCTGCTTCTTTCAGTGGACATCAAAGTGCTGCAAAGCGCCCTGGCTGCCATCAGACACGCTCGCTGGTTCGAGGAGAACGCTTCGCAGTCCACGTGAGTTTGGCCTCAAAACAGGGAACTGCAGCTCTGAGGCCTGGTCAAAATAATCGCCTTTACAGAGAACCGGGTGGGGGGGGGGGGAAGCAAGGCAAGGAGGGCTCTTCCTGCAGCAGGAAGGTGCGTGAGGCGTTACGAACCCTCCTGCCGTCTTCTCCAGGGTGAAGGTCTTAATCCGGCTGCTGAAAGACCTGAGAATCCGATTCCCTGGCTTCGAGCCCCTCACCCCCTGGATTCTGGACCTGCTGGTGAGCGCACGAGGGGGAACGCTGACGGTGTGCCGAGCGCACGAGGGGGAATGCTGACGGTGTGCCGAGCGCACGAGGGGGAACGCTGACGGTGTGCCGGGCATGCCGTAGCTAACTCGTAGCTGCCTGGGCTCCGGCATAAAACAGCTGCTTGTAGCTCCCGCAGCAGGAGTCAGGATTCTTTGCGGGAGGGCTCCTCTCGTCCTAACTCCCTCTTTCTTATTTCACCTCTTCAGGGGCACTACGCCGTGATGAACAACCCCACCAGGCAGCCCCTGGCCCTCAACATCGCCTACAGGTCCGTCGCCATTTGCTTCACTCGTATAAATTCCTCTTACCATCTCGGTTTTGAACATCTGCGGCGGCACGTCAGGGCTTGAAGGGACCTGAACGGGAGGCAAAGCAGACTCCTCACCTAGCTGTGCTAATTGCAGACTTTCTGGCTGTGTTTCTGTGCTGGAACGGTCTAGTTTTTAACCCAAAATGTCTTGTCCCGTAGGCGCTGCCTTCAGATCCTGGCCGCGGGGCTCTTCCTCCCCGGATCTGTTGGTATCACCGATCCCTGCGAGAGCGGAAACTTCAGAGTCCACACGGTTATGACCCTCGAACAGCAGGTGAGCTGCCTCGTCTGCCGCGGGAGAAGGGACTAGAACCCGGCCACGCTCTGACTCCTCCCCGTCCCCGCAGGACATGGTGTGCTACACCGCGCAGACGCTTGTCCGGATTCTCTCTCACGGAGGCTACAGGAAAATCCTCGGCCAAGAGGGTGACGCCAGCTGTAAGTGGGGTCGGTGCAACGCGTGGGTCTTCCTCCGCGCAGGCTGTCGATGTCTTGGTGGGGAAACGCGACGGGCTTTCTGCGTTGCTGGAGAAAATGAAGGGCTCCAAGGAGAAGCGACTCATTAAAGCCCAGAGCGGTGGGGAGGCGAAGCTGGCGAGGCGGGGTGTCGTGCTTCCCTCTGCTACGTCCTGGGGACGGGGCTTGTCCGCACCGCCTGAGGCCGCCCCCATCTTTCTTGGGGCGAGCTGCCTGCTCACTACCCCTGTTTTTGCAGACCTGGCTTCTGAAATGTCCACGTGGGATGGAGTGATAGTGACGCCTTCCGAGAAGGCTTACGAAAAGCCTCCGGAGAAGAAAGAAGGAGAAGAGGAAGAAGAGAATCAGGAAGAACCCGCTACAGGCGAGGAGGAGGAAAGCATGGAGACGCAGGAGTGACTCGCCCAGGTAAAGCCTGTCGGTACCTGCTGCCTTGGGAGAAGGCAGCTCTGGGCAGGGGAGGGAACGGTCCGTGCTGCCTGCGCCCCGGGACGGCGCTTCCCCCCGCCCCCTCAGCAGCCCGTCTTCCCCCCCCCTGCGGCCGGTCCCCGCCGCCGGGTGCTGCTGGCTGAAGGACGTGAAGAACCGAGCAAGAGGACCGAGCCCGTCCTCGGCGAACGCGGCCAGCCGACGTGACCCGTCCCTTATATGTGTTTTTATAAGTTGCGCATTAAAGCGTTCCCCCCCTTTCGAGTGTGTCCTGTTTGTTTAGGCAGAAGATGCACGTTATAGAAGGGGGGCCAGAAAAAGGTCTAACAGCGGGAGGAGGGGGGGGGTTCCAAAACTTTAAGGATGCTGAACCCCAACCTGCTCTCGCTGCTGGCAGCATCTCCCTGGTTCTGCTTCCCCCGGGCCCGTCAATGTAAGGCTGCGGCCGTGACGTGGGAGCGTTACAGACTCACGCTGCCTCACCAGCCCGTAAGCAACACACGGTCACTTTTATTACGGCGCCTACAAACCTGGAAATACAATTCAGGGTCCCCCGGTTCCTTCAGCTGCAGCTGAAGAGCTGCAGCCTCACTGTGCAGGACTTCTTCCCCCCTCCCGTGCTGCGGACGCTCAGGAGAGCGCTGCTACAAACAGGGATACCTGCTCCCCTCGCCAGCGGCCCGTTCCCTTCACTGTCCTTACGGGGTCACGCCCGTCACCATCCGGGGCCGCTCCTGCTCCGGCCCAGCTCACAGGGCCGTCAGTGCAGCCGTGGTGCGAGGCGGATCCGGCCCAGTGCTGCCGCGGGGGCCTCACTTGCCGGGC